TATATCCATGCCATAATCAAGATGATAAGCACATCTCGATAAAAGCTCGGACGGATGGACGGACAAGCATTGATTATATCGATGCCATAATCAAGATGACAAGCGTATTAGGAATATTGCAAGCAAGATTATGAATAGAGTAGACTTTCATCCTTTAGTGCTGAATGAATAAAAAATGGTTTTGAACTCAATTTAAAAAAAAAGTAATTTTTGCTCTCTTTTTATTTGTCTCCTTATTGCTTGCTTCGAGTATGCACTTGTTTTCTGCGCATGAGTAAACGTATATAAAGAAAATATGAGTGTCGTCTCTCTTTCGGGTTTTGTTTGTGTCTTAGCATAACAATGTATTTATTACTCTGCGCATGTAAATACACTTAAAATTGAAGCCAAATAATGGTTTTTGGTGGTATGTGTAACAAACTAGGCAACTGGGTCGCAATTTAGGAAAACTTGTTTTTTTTTTCTGTAAAATTGTTGCTTATTTTCTCAATGAAGTCTTTAACTATTGCGTGTTGTATTCCGCATTTTTCTTCTTCTTCTTCTTTTTTTTTTTTCTTTTCTAAACAACAAAATATTTAATAATTATAATAAACGGTAAGTGATTTGTTTAATATGCTTAAGAGTATGCGTTGTGGACTTTTATTTAGAATAAAAAGCAATGCACTCTGGTTATTAAGAAAATTTTCGCTTTTAAATTAACAAAGAACAAGTTGTTAAGAACATTGAGAGACAAAGCGAGTCAAGTGATATGATACCATAAAATTGCAAATGTAGTCAACAGGTTTACCTATATTCAATAGAGAACGGTTTGAGCATTTTATGATTGAATGTTTGGAAAAATCTTGAAAATATTATTTTTTAAGGCTTATCTTACTTATGCAAAATAAAAAGCCAGTCCATGAAATTGAGAACGTTAGAAGAATCTTAATGCGGGTTTTCTTTTTCTTTTTCTTTTTTTTTTTTTTTTTTGTTTTTTAGTTAGTTCTCAATCAATTTATGTGAAAGTTGTGCAGATTTCTTGTTTAACTAACAGTTTTCAAATACTTTCCAAATAAAAAAAGTCTTTAACAAACATAATACATTATGGGTCACTTAATATCATCTCCCAGGACTGTCTTTACGCAAAAAATCCTAGTACAGGATCCTTTGCTGCAATTTTAAGGCCTGTTGTCCGCAACATTACGACCCAATATCGGCAAGTATTGCTATCTATTATAAGATTGTTTGAGAATTTGAAGGCAATCTGTACCTAAATAGGTTTAGATCTCATTGCTGCTTTGAAAAAGTGAGAAGACTTTTTGCAAAGTTAATTTCTGTACAAATCACTTACTAGGATGATGTGAAATGTGAATCTGGTTAACGAACCTAACTAAAGATGATGCTGAACGTAAAAGGATTTCTTCAGCGTTAAATCAAAGATACGTTCAGACGATAACAAGTAAAACACCTTAACATTCGAGTCGACAAAACTAAAAAATTGATCTCTTCACCCCCTTGAGAAAAAGTGAATTTCTTCTTTTGAAAGATCGAGCGCCAAACGAAACTGAAGAAAGCCTCGATAAACGTTATAGAGAATCTGGTCACAATTGGAGCATGTTCCTACAAGTACTAACGATAGACGTCGTGCACTTCCCTATAGGACGATTAAAGAAAACTATATTATGGCAATGGAGGACCCAAAATGCAAATGCGTAAAACTAGCTGTACACTGTTAAGAAGCCAAAGTTGTCTACGCTTAATATGCTGCTTAATATGGACGCCCACTGTTGATCGAATTCCTGCGACAACTTCAATCGAAAATTTAAAGCTTTGTTTGAATTTCCTCATCAATTAAGTAATTGGGGATGAACCAGTCTGATGACATAGCAGAATCGGATGATGAATCGAAAAATTGGCGATGTCCATGTATGGTGTTTTTTACGATGCACACGGCTTAGCTATCACCGTTAGTTTCAGCAAGATTGAATATTTGGAAGAGTGCGATATATCGCATGACAATCGATATCAGGTTTTTCCATGCGATATTTCGAAGAACAAGTCAAGTAAAAACTTATGAAGAAAGGAATCTAATTTTCCAAAAAAAACAATTATGTCTTACTTGTTAGACAACTCACTTATTGACCCCATTGATTGATGCATTTTGTCAACGAATGGAGGAACTCGTCCCAATCAAAGAAAAGCCAAAGACTATTTAGCATTTCGTTTTAATTGCTTAGGCTGCCTTGATTTTTTTTACTACACTCAACGGCAACTTGGTCTAATTAGTTTTGAGCGCTTAGACTGACCAGCTTTATTTATTCTTTTGTTTGCTTTGGCTGACGGCTTGAGCTTTGACGGCTTAAGTGAGCTAATTCTACTCTTCTACTTTCGATTACTTAGGCTGACGACTAATTTTGGACAATTGACTGATCTTCTCTAAGCTTAGACTTATCGATTATGCTAGGGATGCACAAACAAGTGAACTACAAGGTTAAAGCTTAACACATTATTATTATATAATATTAATATCTTTTCCTCATTTATAGATATTGATAGTTTTCTTTTTTGCTTTACATTTACAGACTTATTAACAGAAGAAGAAGAAGAAATATCTGAAATTAGTTTGCCAGGAAGTGAGTCTTCAACCGAAAGGTGGGTAAGCAAGCAAAACTTTGCACAATAATTTATATAGAAATGTTTTTATTCATTTTCTTTTTAACAAGATATCGTCAATTTTAAATATTCAATGAAAATGAAAGTTTTCTTCTTTTTTTTTTTCTCTCTTTTTAATTTGCCTAACAAATCAACTAAATTTTAATGCATATTTACACTTTCGTTTTTATTCAATTCGTTTCGTAACATGCATAAAATATATGATAAAAGAAAGAGAAGGAAGAAGAATGTAAAAGAAGTTTGGTTTGTAATTTTAACAAAGTGATATCAAAAATTTGGAAGATCCCTTGTTTTTAAATAGCTTAATTAATAAGTTATGCACACATATTACATACATATAACAAAATTCATGTAACAAAATTCATTTGATGCTTTTTATCGAAATATTTATTCATTATTGGAAGAGAACCGGTTTCTTTATAAGAAATTTTTTTTGTAAATTACAAAAAAGTCCGTTTAGAGGCGGGAGGAAAGTTCTATTTTACTAAATAATAAAGAAAAAAAAGTTACATCATATTACATAATAGCAATTCTTCTTTTGATGTCGAGCGGTCGCTTAGTAAGGAAAATACGATAAAATTTAGCATTTTTTCACTAAAGATGGCGTTAGGTTTACCAAAATATGGAATGGATTCAATGAAAGTATTTTGTTTGAGCTACTGGATGCTAAACATTTCGTTAAGGGAACACATAACATTACTATATCTTTGCCGACATTCAGAGGAGGTCATCAAACCCATTATATATTCGAGTTCGTGCCAACGCAACCTACTGGCTTGAAAAAGCAAAGAGAGCATGAGTAGTAGAATAGCTAAGAATCGCAAACCTCAATGCGATTTAGCTTATATTTTTGATACATTTATATAAAAAAGATTATATATTACATTTCAACCAAACCATTTGTTTGAATATATATGGAAAGAGAATATTCTTTTTTTTTTTGAAAATAGTTCTTTTCTCCCTATTTTCTGATTGTGTTGGGAGTATAGAGGCGATCACCTCTAATCGGCCATGCATGCCTTCACATACTCTTACCAATTGGTGATATACCCACTAGGCTGCGGCCACCCCTTTCCTATTATGTTTTCTTTCCTTTCTTCTTCCTAGCCGTCACCGTGTTACACTAATAAGGGGTCACTCGGGACATCCACGGAGTTACTGGTAATATTAAAAAAAAAAAACTTTAAATGGGGCTGATACTCTCTCAGTTCTAATTCAGTTCTCAATTCTCCTCTTAGTAAATTATTTCAACTCTTCAGTCAAAAAAACATTTTTACATCTCCAATATGTTCAAAGGAAAACCATAGTGTCTTCTCCTCTCTTCACTTCACTGAAATTGTTAGAATGTCAACAAAAAATGGAAAGGAAAAGAGACTGCATATACGTGTGTTAAAAAGAATGCTAAATAAAATCCGCGTAGTACCTATCGTATTAGAATCCAGTGTTAGCATTCATGTTAGAATCCATCCTTATCTACCATGCTAGATTGCATCCGTGTTAGAGTCCGCCGCTACGTACGATGTCAGGAACCGTCGTTTGCTTACCGTTACCAACCTTGATAGAATCCATCTTGAACTACAAATTGGAATCCAATGTTAGGTATGAAAACATGCCAGATTAGAGTCCACCTTTGCCTACCGTTACCTATCAAATTTGAATCCGTAGTTATCTACCGCATTCGATCATGTTAGAATCCACAGTTTCCTAGTATTATATACTATGGTCGTAGCTCCTTAGTCGGTAAAGGCAAAACAATTACCGATTTTACCCACAACCACTAGACTGCGACCGCTTCCTTATCTCTTTCTCTTTTCGCCTGTGACCAGATTACACGAAAAGGAGACACACGCTGAGTGGTTGGTCATACAACAAAAAAAGGGAGCAAACGGTAGTTTCGGTTAGTGAAATTTTCGGCAACTTTAAGAAGATCAAAAACTAAGCATCACACATTCATTGCAACTCTAAATCACTTTTGTCGTCGTAGTTGCCCATTCTCTTTCTTGCAAGGGGCAAGATTGACATAAAGTCGTAAAATTCGGTTTGTTTTCTGTTCGTTTTTACCCGATATATTGGTAAGATAAAAAATTCGTAGCATTATAAAAATATTGTGAAAGACGTACCTAGTTCTCATATCAAGTGTGTTGTAAATCCGCTGAGGATCATTTTTACCCCGAAGCTCTACACCTAACCAATATTTATATATCAGGGTTGCATTTTAACAAAAATTTTTTTTCAATATGTGCATAGTCTTATGCATAATGGGTAATGTTTGTGCAAATGCACAAATCTCTTTTGCTTTCTTGCCCTATGCTAATCACTGCAAAAAGTATATGCTTTCAGTTTCTTCGTCTATAATGATCCTACCAACAGTTTGAAAGATGGACGTGACAAAGGTACATACTTTCAGTTCCTTTGTTGATAGCGATCTTAGATACAGATGGACAGATGGATCCGCGTAATGGAACTGACAACGATATATGCATTCAGTTTTTTTCGTCCATAGTGATCTTAGCAACTTATTGATAGATGGTCATGCTTTCTAAAACTAATAAAGAATGTTAGGCTGGTCATAAATCTATCGGATTGATTGTGCAATTTTGTAATGAAATGAAAGTTCGTTCATCATCTTAGTATGTAACGCGATGTAACTGCCGTCCATGGCCGTCTAATGCTCGTGAATGTAGGTACAAATGACGGTAATGGCCCTCCTAAATTCTTAGTACTGTGATAGAAAGCGTTAATATGTTAAGCATCTGTAAATGTCTGAAAATGCTTGACTGATATTGAATTTTGAAGTTTTATCGAATATCTATAATCAGCAAATGCCTAACGAGGACAAGGAAAGTCTCTCTCCTGATTGGTCTCCTCTATTTAGATTAACAAATTTAGACTACTTAGTCTAGGTAGTAAGTTAAGTTTGGTTAAGCCATATTTTCAAATTTCTTTAGGCAGGCTATAATAGGACGCTGCATATGTAAACCATAAACAGCGGGATTTTCGATGAGCACGTGTTTTCTTTACCACTGCAGTTGAGTACTGTAGTCTACTTAGTTTGCTTATATGAATAGTTCTAATCACCCAGATTGGTTAATTAATTCGTTTAACTCGGCTAACTTTGTATGCTTTATTTCGCTCATAAAAGGCCAGTGTTGCCAGTTAAGCTTTGTGCTGGGTAGTCGTAATAGCTTAGACCTTACTAACGTAAGCTAGTAGGCTAATTTTGATAGTTTGGACTACCTAATCTAAGTCTTTAGGTTGACTTCATTTTGCTTTCTTAACCGGCCAGCAATTCTGCTTAAGGTGACCAGCTCAGCTTACTTAGACTGGATGATTATGAAAGCTTAGATCAGTTAGTTTTGCTGGCTTAATTTGACTTACAAGTACTGCTGAGCTTTTCTGCTTATATCATTCTTCTCATTTTCTTCACTAGTTACCTTTTTTGCGTGCATAGGTTGGGGCTAGTTTTGTGTAATTGATTTGATTGCTTAGCTTTAAATGACTAAAAGGCAGCTAAGTTTAATTGCTTAGACTAAGTACTTCTGTTTGCTTTGTTTCCCTTCGTTTGGTTTGAAAACTTTTCCTGCCGCTTTAGAGATCATACTTCATACTACCGTTACTACCGTGTAGCTAATTTTCCCAGCTTAAGTTGACGGCTCTGCTTTGTTTTGCCATTTAAGTTTGCGTCGCATATAAATGATAAAGTGATGACTTTCTGATGACTACAGACATATGTAATTACATATAATTACTTTAGTTCAATGAACGCTTTTCAAATTTTGTAACTTTATTTTTTGTTTCTGCCTACAGGTCACATAACTATTCATCAAATTCAAGCTTCCTAATTAATGGGCCATCAGCCTTTGGCATTGTGTGTTGCCTTAGAAAGGCTAGCGGAAAGATTCACATCAGCTCTTGGCACCCAAACTATACCCAAACTAAAGATTATTGTTAAATTTTTCCTCTGAAAAACTCAGGTTTTTCGCCAAACCTCGAAAAAATGTGAATTTCATGTGTAGCGTCGCTAAAACAAGCAATTGTTGTAGGTTGTACACTAGCGGTGGAAATGTTATGAAATTTTGCTATTGATTTCGTTTGAAGATTGGTATTATCTAAAACTCGTATGAATGGATGCGTCGTCGTTTGTGTGTCAGTCTACAACTTTATTGAGTGTTGTGCTATATAAATTTTTTTCTCATAAAAAATTGTTTTAAGGAGGCATTGTAGCTTTGCTACGGTCGTTTTCTGCTTATTGCCAAATGAATGCCAAAAAAAGAAAGAAAAAAAAAAAAAATCTGCCTAATTTTACTGCTTTACGATGAGAGTCAACCAACCAATGCACAAAATTTATTATCTAAATGAATTATAAAATTTCGTATGAAATGTTTTTTTAAATATCTGATGTTGCTGTTGTTGTTGTTTTTGCCACTAAGCTCGGTTTTTTTTTCTTTTTTTTTAATAAACAAAAACTTTCATTTAATTTAATTTTTATTGATTTTATATCAATGGCAATAAATGATATCCTTACGATATGTAAGCAGCGTACGCAGATGTGTTTCGTCAGCAATTAAACCATAATGTGCCTGTTGTGGTAGAATTGTGTTGTATTGGTTTTTCTGTAAGCTCTGTCCACTGTCCACTGCGCTCGATTGGTTTTGTAATGTTATAGGTTTGATGTCTCAACTAATCGGTCGATTGTTTTGCTTTTTCTTTTTCTCTTTCATTTTTTTTTTTTTAACTTCTTTTCCTTTTAAATACTGTTTTTTTTATTTTTTATTCGAATTGAATGATGTACCGAATAAAATGTGATGATAAATTTGCAGAAAAATTGCGCACAAAACTCGATGAATGATAATTACTGAAAAATTAAGAAAGAGATAGGTAAAAAAACACAAAAAAAAAAAAAAAAAAAAAAAAAAAAAAAAAAGCGAAAAAAAAAA